TGAGTCAAAAGTATCAAAACATCCGGATCCTTACTAGACCATCATTAAATGACGTAATATCCTTTAAAGGTCTTTTGCTGAAACTTTTCCGACCACTTCATGTTAGTAGTCACCTGTAGATATCTTCCGTCGGCCAATCTTCACTTCAACTGTCGACCAATCTTCACTTCAACTGTCGACCAATCTTCACTTCAACTGTCGACCAATCTTTGCTTCAACTGTCGACCAATCTTTGCTTCAACTGTCGACCAATCTTTGCTTCAACTGCCGGCCAAACTTTGCTTCAACTGTCGACCAATCTTTGCTTCAACTGCCGGCCAAACTTTGCTTCAACTGTCGACCAATCATTGCTTCAACTGCTGGTCGTCGCTTCATGTGCCATCCGAAATATGCTTCAACTACCGGCCAACCATGAAGCCTATAAACCTTAGTTTATAATCTACCAATCGATCCTATCAATACCGACTGTAGTGCCGTTAATTCCGCTGAATAAACTAAAACATGTTGTGTAGCCAACGATTACATTTCCGCCCACTGCGCTGTCTAAATAGTAAATTGATTACATCAGGCATTTTTTCTTCCCACCTTGTAAATTGGCTCCATATCTCTCTACCGCCAACCAGCGGTAAATGAGTAGGCTTAAGAAGAAATCGCGCCGCAATTGTACATTCATCCAAGGAGCGACAACCGTAATTTCAAAAGGCCGTTAACTCTCATTAATGAGAGGCCGGAGTTGAGGCCCCTGGACGTGACCGTTCCCATTTACCGGTCAAGAATGTCACTTTTCGACTGGACAGTGGTTGTTATCTTTAAGGGGAGAGAAGAAGAAAGGGGGAAAAAAATCCGCGTTACCTCCCCTTAACAATATGTGTGAGATAATGGCGACACTGTGGACGACACCTGGGGGTTCAATAATTGGTCGGTAATCAATTGATTTCGTATTGAATCGTTGGTGGCTGTTTAATGTGAAGTTTGTATTGTGAAAAACCTGATTGCGATTAAATCTCACCCCCCACCCCCACACCAACTTTCCCTTTACTTTTGACACGAAGAAGTGTCAAGCGACCCTTCACGAGCTGAGGGAATGGGACAGGGGGGGGGGGGGGGGCACTCGTGGGGTCATGATTTGTATTCAAAATGATCTGACCCGTTAAATGTAAAGATAATAGTTTGCCCAGGACTCCCCAAACGACCGGATAACCGGCTAAACAAGCGGTCCGGTTTAATGAAGGTCCGGTTAGTTTCGCATTCAGTGGATTGTATGCTGAAATTGGTTGATTTTAAATCTTTTCTTGACCTTGGGTATAGCGATGTGGCGTGTATAATACTGTAACACGTTACATGGGCATGCCACAGCCGTCAGTAGCACATCACAACAAATATTGACAGTAACACATCACAGCCAAAAGTAGCCCATCATAGTCAACAGTAACACAATATATTCCAACAATAACACATCACAACAAATAGTAACACATCATAACCAAAAGTAACACATCATAACCAAATGTAACACATCACAGCAAACAATAACATATCATAACACATCATAACCAAAAGTAACACATCATAACCAAATGTAACACATCACAGCAAACAATAACATATCATAACACATCATAACCAAAAGTAACACATCATAACCAAATGTAACACATCACAGCAAACAATAACATATCACAACCAACACCACAACCATCATTAACACACCAAAACCAACAGTAGCTCGTTATAACAAACACTAACACGTCACAATCAATAACAACATGTCACAACAACAATAAAAGTAAAGTATTCAACAAAGTCAGTTTTATATAAGAAACCACAAAAACCACTTGAAATCAAAACAAACAATCGCGATTCTAAAGTACAAACAGTTACCCATGTTTTGTTTTTTTAAACCCCACCTTATTACCGTATCTACCAACCAACTGACCGCAGCACCAACATCTTTCAACAACAGCATCATACCTGTCACCACCAAAAATCTCATCAATTCCAATTCTAGTCGGCTACTTACCCCTCCCCCCCCCCGCCCCAACTACAAAAACCCTTGACCGTTACCAACGACTTAACGACCATGCACCAAACTGACCTACTCTCTCTCTCTCAGCAGCCAAACAACCGACCACACAACACGTGTCGGCGTGCCCCCACCTGATCCCCCCCCACCCCCCCGCAATACCCCACCTGTACACCAGATGTTATCAGAACCCTCACAAGCCGACGTCTTCATCTGTTTGTAAAGAACTTTTACAATAGGTAAATTTTTTTTTATATTGTTTCCGCCCACCTGTGTTAACGATGTGGCAGACAGTGGGGGTCGGGCTAGGGGGGGGGGGGGAGGAAAAATTCTATGTCGAAATGTTTGTGATAGTTGTTATTTTCCCCACCACTCCCTCTCCCCCTACTCTAACAAGTCGCATCTACACGTAGATCCGTTCACTGCTTGACAGACCTATTCATTTTCTGATGAAGCCATCCGGTCGAAACGTCAGCGTCGATGTTAGGTTCTTGAAAAAGTTCATGGTGATTGTTGGCTAATGCTTAATGGTTGTCCTTTTAAAACTATAAATACCTGAATCTCCAGAATGACAAATCCTCCAGGCTAGTTCATCCTTGCAAACAAGATGTTTTCGTTAAACTTGGGTGGCAAATCTTGCTCACAGAAAGAAAGAAATAGATCTATATATAAAGTTTCCAACATTGTCAACCACGACGATAGGATAACAATAAAAACAAAGTTCCATTTAAAAAAACAAACATTTAATAGAATTATAATCAAATAGAATTTTTGCTGTTAAAGAAATAATGGCTTTTTGTTTGTACATAATTTGACGTATCACACCCACATCCACATTACATCCACATTACATCCACATTACATCCACATTCACATTCACATTCACACCCACACCCACATCCACATCCACATCACACCCACAACCACATCCACATCACATCACATCCACATTACATCCAAATTCACATGCACATTCACACCCACATCCACACCCACATCTACATCCACATCACATCCATAACCACATCCACATTACATCCACATTACATCCAAATTCACATGCACATTCACACCCACACCCACACCCACATCCACATCCACATCACACCCACAACCACATCCACATCCACATCACATCACATCCACATTACATCCAAATTCACATGCACATTCACACCCACATCCACACCCACATCTACATCCACATCACATCCATAACCACATCCACATTACATCCAGATTAAATCCACATTACATCCACGACCACATCACATCAGATCCACATCCCCAATCACATCTACATCCACGTCCACATGACATCCATATCCACATGACATCTACATTCACATTACATCCATATCCACATTACATCCACATTCACATGACATCCATATCCACATTACATTCACATCAAAATGACATCCACATGACATCCACATCACACCCACATAACATCCACATTACATCCACATCCACATCACCTCCACAGTCTCGTGTCGAAATATTTGGACTCTCCGGTTGCCGTCTGTGTTTGTTGATCTGCCCATCTGCTCCCCATCTCTGCCCACAAAGGTGAAAGGTAATCCAATTTTAATACGACCGGTTCGTAACCGAAATCGCTGGCATTCCGATCCTGTGTTTGTGAGGGTGGGGGGGGGGGGGGGGGGTGAGGGGGTAGCCCTGCCGCGTGACGCAACGACCCAACAATTACTCACGTGAGCGGCCTACATGAGTCCTGCGTCTTATCTCTGCACCAATCGTCTTCAAATAAATGAACTGGAACTGACACCTCCTGGTTGAGCCCCCCAAACCCCCCCCCACCTCCCCACCCCACACCCCCATTTCCACCTTGCTGTAGTACGCTCACTGCTTGTGCTCACGGAATAATGGGTGGTGTTTAGCAAGCGCTTCAGCTATTGGTATTTGTTTTTTATTTAATTAATTACACGTGAAAGTCCGAGAAAGACAGTAGATTAGGGTTAGGTTTGACTGTGGTATTATTCATAGTAGATCTAAGTTACACGGAATGGTCGGGTGCGAAACACGAAGGTGAAGGCTGAAGAAAAAAAAAACTATAAGATGACTTTACCAATACGAATATCAAATCTGTATTGAAATTGTTCGACTAAATATTGTTCGTTGTATGTCTTCGCCTGTGTATATGCCTTGTACTTCAAAACCACAACAACGGCAGTTAAACTGTACCTTCCAGCAATGTTACAGTTTTAAAAAATAGAACAGAAAACATAAATGTAAAAAATAACAATGTCTCCTTGAATGAAAGAGCAAAACAACAAGATTCAACAAGATGTTTCTATTTTTATGTATACACAACTTGTTTACTTATGTAAAGAGTTTCTTGCAGGCATCTCTTCGGGGGGGGGGGGGGCTCTGCCCCTCTCCGAAGAAAATCTACCCCCCCCCCAACGAAATTGAATTTATATAGAAAATATATACTTTTAACAGTGTCCCCCCCCCCCCCCAAACATATTTCAAGTGTCCCCCCCCCCTTCCCGGAAAAAAAGTCTGAAAGAAACACTGCTTATGTATATATGTGTTAACAATTATTATAAACATCAATCGTCCTACTATAAAGACGATTCAGCTGTCCTATTAATTTGTTTTTTTTAAAATTTAGTTGAATCCGAAACAGATTTCGTTAGTGATTACTATAATGTGACTATAACTTTTAAACACACCAAGAATTGTCATTATTTCGTGTTTCTTTTTATTCTTTTAAATTAACCCTAACACAATCTCATGTGATAATATGTAAAAATTTTCGTGCGAATTTTTTTAAATCCACCCCCCCCCCCCCCCCCCCCGGGCCCCGAGAATCGAATGAGAGTCAACGAACCCCAGCCTGACACCCTGACAGGCAGCAGAAATCGGGGCGGCGAAGCAAGCGGCCCGCCGAGCTATCGCGGAACACAGCGGAGCGTGGACTAGGCGACCAGGGCCCGCGCGCTGAATCGTTGTACGGAATTACCGTGGCTATAGGTTAGGTTCCGTTTATTTTGGTGTAGTTCGAACTACGGACACGGTGTGTAGGCTTGGAATTTTAATCGGATAACTTGATTGGATTGAGTGTGATTTATGTAAACAATTCAGATTGTCAGTAAGTGAAAGTAAAATAATTTTTTTAAACCTAAAATCTTTCAGTTCTTTTATCTTTTTAAAATTCCAACAGAAAAATCGCAAAATGTAAAATAATATTAATACTGATAATTAGGCCTAATGGGTCTATTTCATTAAATCAATTGATAATTAAATTAAAATTTTCGTTAATATTGGGATTAAGTTAAGCTTAAATTTATTAAATTATTAAATTCTTTTTGTTTTTATCTAAATCTACTCTTAATTGTATATTATAGGAAATCTGTTTAGATCGGTAAAATGTTGAATAAAATGATGGTTTTGGTGTAAAAATTGACGTTAAAAAATATAAACAGTCTTTAATAAAGCTGTCAAAATATCAGATCATGGGTTTAAATATACGGGATGTTAACTGTGTCTGAACTTAGTAATAACCGGCTTCATTAGAGTTAAGTATCGGCAGTTTATTGTCTAGATTCCACTAGATCTAGATCTTGTTGTGAGCCGTCCTTAGATATAGGTAATTGAGACATAGGTAACCAATATAAGTTATTTAGATCTAGGTAAGACACATGAGTAAACATAGTTTACATAGAATTTATTTTAACAACTTAAAGATAAGTGATTGGGTATTACTAAGTATTACAGAAATTTAATGGTAACTTAGACATAAACGAATGCAAAATAAACATAGGTAACAGACCTTTACAGGTAACTTAAACATAGGTAACATAAATGAATGCAAGTTAAATATAAATAACTTGGACGATGAATGATAACTTAGATAGACATATAGGTAACATAAACGTGTACAGCTTAAACATAGGTAACATACATTCATATGTAACTTAGACAATAAATCGTAACTTCGACATGGGTCATCAAGACTTTTTTTTACACTAATCTATTTAATCTATTTTACACATAGATAACCTGAACATAGAATTAAATACCGTCGGATAGTGTACGGATGAAAACTTCAACAAAAGTTGGAGGTGAAGATGAATACAAATTTGTTTACACAACCTGGAGAATTAAATTTTGTTTTCCTGTAAACAAACCTCAGCTGGGGGGAACTTTAAGACAGTAAAACTGTCAAATTCTGGATAAACTAAGGAAAAATATCAGGTTGGGTAAACTAGTTGTAAGAAAAAAATTTCATGAATTAAAGTAAATGTAAGGAAAATATGTAAAATTGATGAAATAAATTTAAGGTAAATGTAAACCTTAGTAAACTAAATGAGAAAGGAATATGTAATTCTGTGTTTACTAGGTGTAAGAAAAAAGTTTTCAAGAAAACAAATTAATCGTGTGTAAATTACACAGAGGAAGCATACATTCACCCAGATTATAAAGTACTTAATCGGAATATTATGATAATGACACGTTTTGAAACAGGTTTTAATGGTGATTAATAGTTATTTACATAGCGGATTTTACGCAATAAATCAAATGATATTTTACTTATGTGGGACAGGTATTTGGGAGTTTTCATGGTAATGTTTTTTTTAAAAAACAAAATTATTAAAAACAATTAGCTCTTATATATAAAACATTTACTTCATATTAGATTACTGTCAACTCCTTAAAGTAAAATTTTGTAGTTGAATTCGTAGATCTACAGTTAATTTTGTTGGTTAGATTCCTACAGTACGTTATTTGTGTTAAAAATGTTTTCTGATAAAATACTTGTAAATCTAAAAGATAATTGTTAATTTGAACATATTTTTTCTTGTTTCTAATTATTTACGATACTTATTTTAATAGTGGTATTTTAATTTTAAGGCTTTTTAAAAAACCTGAATATAGATAGTGGTAACATTATTTCCTAGTTTGGCTGCACTGAGAAGATTTCACCAAATGGAAAGTAAATTCTAGTAACTACACAATTTCAATAGAAGAAAGTGCACAGGAAAAAAGATATTTAGGGTAAAAAAAAAGCCCGACAAAATAGCGAATTGTGTAATGCCAGTTTTCTCTGTTGTATAAACTCCCATTCGCGGTTGAAGATTGCTGGATACTGCTCTCCTCTTGAGGCGGATGAGGGATTTTTAATGTCAACGTAAGTACTAATTATTGTCATTTGTGCGACAACCCCCGCCCCGTGAGATGCGGCTCCTTGAGGGTTCTCAACGGGGTCGTGGAGGGGGGAGGGGGCGTCGTCGTTAGGGAAGGGGGTAGGGAGATATAGTTGAGGCCGACGCCGTCTCGATAGTGTAGGAAGCTTTTAGTTGAACCCAGACCTGTTATTATACCCACAATTCACCTGTCTATCCTGCTTTTGTCTGCAATTTTGTTATCCTACATACCATCACCCCCGACACACACACACTTCCCAATCCACCCCCTTTTTCGATAAAGATATTTTACTTAGCAAAAAAAAAAAAAAACTGGCTCAATGAATGTCGCAATGTTGGAGCTACAAGCTGACAAATGTCTTCCGTCTGCTGGGATCGAAGGGTACAATGTACGCCAGCAACAAAGGCTTTTTTTTTATTTTCTGCTATTGATTGTCAGTTAAACGACAATACACTGTCACACGTATTGATATGCTGGAGGTAATTAAGTTTTCATTGGGGGTAAATTAAAGATCGGTTCGTGTGTTCATGGAGGAATTGCATGCCTGCAGTATGTTGTGAATTATCCCTAGATGTAAAATATATACATAAAATACTTAAGGTATGTTTATATATATATATATATATATATATATATATATATATATATATATATATATATATATATATATATATAATTTGTAATACAGTTCTTCCTAAACGATATGTATCGTTGTGTAAGCTGTTTATAATAAGCCTTAAACAGCATACAAAAATAGTAACACTTGCAGAAAAATCTCTTAGTAAAGAGCAATTCTACTGGCAGTAAGAATGATGTAAATTAAGGGAGAGGGGGCAGGGGAGGGGGGCATTGTCGTGTCATTTGTGACCATGAAAAAGTTGTAGAAAAGTCAGTCATGTTAAACCTAGGACAGACTTTCAACTCTTTCAACTCAAAATCCCATCAATGTTTATGTTGTTGAGTACTTTTCCTTTTTGTGGTATTTGTCTTTTCTTCGACATAGCACGCCAAAAGTATAACATGTAGATAATTCTAAGTGATAGGGTTTATTGAGCGATGTGTTATGGTTCAGAATGAGTGTTATAGTGTTAAGATAGATAGATGGTTAAGGTGGGGATCAAATTAGTCTATTGTTATGATTCGGAGGAGTTAGGGCTATGGTTAAATTAGGTTTTGGTTACGGTGGAGATTGTATTTTTGTGCTCAAGGACTGTTTTTGTTAACTAGTCGTGTCTAAGGGGTAGTTCGCCAAGTTAAAGGAGGGGATGGGATTGGAGTGGGGAAGGGTGAGAAGGGGAGATTGTAACCTCTGTGGCCCTCTTCTGCTTGGGAAATAAAAAATTACATGCATTAGTTATTTTTTAAAACATGATGAATTTTTTAAAAATAAGTTGGATGTATGCGCTTTATATTACGTACCTATGTCTACTTTGGCCCTGAAAGAATACTTTATGTCTGCATCGGGCCATCATTTTAGGGGTGCGGTTAGATCAGTCTGAAATTTTGTGGCATGTGCGTGTAGAGTAGATAAAATGTTTTAACTTTTTTGTTACGCTAACCCCCCCCCCCCCCTTATACTACTTTAACAATAGACTTTTGTATTTGAATTTTACAGACAAGATCCCAATACATACATAAAACCCAAAGTATAAACACTTATGAAACGAAACTTGATCTAATAGTTTTATAACAATAATCAACACTCTCAACAGATTCTGGGAATATTTAAATATATTTTTAAGGGGCGATAACCATAGTTTTTTTGTTTTTTTTAACTTTTCAAATAAGCTACCAACGAATACTTTTAGATAAGGGTATCCCTTGGTCGAGCAATATTTTTTTTCTTATTTCCCTTGACTGAAGAGTCGAGGTTGGGAATGTTAATCCAGCCGCGGTCGGAGTTAGACATGTTGAATATCCTTCTGTTCATCGTATGCTCTCTGGGGGGGGGGGGGCGAAATAAAGAGGTGGGGGTGGTAGTTTCCGGTGGCTTAAAATTGGCGTAGAGTGATCAACTTTTTAACTACTAACTTACCTGGACATGGACGTAAGAGAGGAAAAAAATATTGTACGTGTGGGGGAGGAAAGGGGGGGGGATATTTGAACTTTTGAACTTTTATTTCTTCTATCTGGCTCATCGGGTCCCGTCACGGTCCGTTACTAGCGTACGCTGGCGTGTAAGACCGTCTCGCCGGCAACACCTCGGCTCACGATAGGGCCCATAAACCAGGCGAGGCTCTAGCGCCTGGGACGATGGGAAAGGGTCATAAAGAAGACTAGGGCCCTAGCGCCTTGGGAGATCGGAAACAGCCATAAAGCAAAAACTTACCCCCCCCCCTATTCTACACACACATATACACACACTTCACCGACCAACTGGGCCGCGACACCTCTATGATTAAGTACCAGGTACCAGAACTCCAGTTAAGTCTGGTTTATTGTTCTAACCATAATCCTAACACCTACGTCGCCCGGACATGCCAATCCATATCCGCCTGTCATGTTTCAGGAATTACCCCCCCCCCCTTACTCCTACTACTCCTTCACCCCCCCCCCCCCTCCCTCCCACACCAAATGGACGTCCTCTCCCCTCACCTGTCGTGCTGCGTTTACTTTTGATTTCACCTCATGTTTTCTTTATTAATCCCGCTCTCAAATTGTCCCCGTCTAATGGTTACACTCCACGCCGCTCTAGCGCCTCTACCTCCCCCCCCCCCCATCCCTCCCTACACACGCCCCCCTCACCCCCCTCGGGTTTCACAATTAGGCAGGTAGGCAGATGTTACCCCGTACGTGAGCCAGCCAATCAACCCCCCCCCCCTCTCCCACAACTCGTCCACCTAGCTCACCGCCTGCTCGTTCACTTACGAGCATTTGGAATAGTTTAAAATAGTATTAGACGCGGGGGCGATGGGGAGAGGGGGGGGGGGTGAAGATTATACGACGCGGACTAATTGAATTCATCGAGAGTTTTTTTTTCAGGCTCACTAATTTACTCAGCATTTCTGAGGTTCACACATATCTGGTATAGTCTCAGTATATTTGTGAGTCTATAGTGTAAAATTCTTCTTCGTTATAATCTCACTTTCTTTATAGTCGCATTCTCATTATCTAACTAGGCAATGGCCTCTCAATCTTCCTAGGCTATATTATCACAATCTTCATAGTTTAACAATATCCCTAGCCTATAATATCTCAATCTTCCTAGACTATAATATCACAATCTTCCTAGGGTATAGAAGAACAATCGTCCTAGACTATAATATCACAATCATCCTAGGCTATAATATCTCAAGCTTCCTAGGCTATAGTATCACAATCTTCCTAGGCTATAATATCTCAATCTTCCTACACTATAGTATCACAATCTTCCTAGGCTATAGTATCACAACCTTCCTAGACTATAGTGTCACAATCTACATAGGTATAATATCACAATCTTCCTACACTATAGTATCACAATCTTCCTAGGCTATAATATCTCAATCTTCCTACACTATAGTATCACAATCTTCCTAGGCTATAGTATCACAACCTTCCTAGACTATAGTGTCACAATCTACCTAGGCTATAATATCACAATCTTCCTAGACTACAATATCACAATCTCACTAGACTATAATATCACAATCATCCTAGGTTCTAGACGCACTAGGACGTCCTATACTATAGCCTCACTGTCTTGGTAGTCTCGTCTCACAATTTGAACAACACAAATAAATCCTTGCTGGATCACAAGTGAAAGGTCTCAATTTTAGAGGATTTACTATTGTAGATGAGGCCGTTCTTGACTGCAGATCTATTGTTAAAGGTTTTGCTAGGCCACAGATGTTCTAGGCTAAATGTTTCATTAGGCTACATGTTTTATTAGGTTATGGTTTTACAAGGCCGTATCTTTTACTATGTGTCCCAAGACTCAATGTTTCAATAAGCTAAAGGTGTTAATAGCCTAAAGACGTCATTTGATTAAAGGTGTCATTAGCCTTTATTTAACTAATAGCTCTGTATCATCTGTACAGAACTTTTCTTATGATCGATAAACTAACAACATAAATGGCCAATATAATAGTAGGCCTACATGCATCTTTGTTTTACCAAATTTTTAGTTCCCTATCAATATTGGCAATTTTGGTTCCCTGTCTAGACTGGCTGCAGAAAAAGTTAACTAGATCAGTAAATGATAGCAAAATGATGATCCCATCAAGTGAGAAGATTTCCAGTGGGTGGGGGATAATGCATGTACCATAGTGACTCCATTAAGTGAGTAAAATTGCATGCTGGAGTGGGGAGGGGGGTGAACGATGCATATACCCGTGGGTGCGGAGTGCTGGGTAAACACTGTGTGCGCTGAGGGTGAGTGCTAGTCGAGCTCGCGCGTCGGTTACGCCGTGTTTATGGTCTATGTAGCTGCATGCATAATTAAGTCCGTTTTTTTTTTCTTTTACTGTCGGCGTAGTGTCAGCCACACTCACATAAGTCACTCCCACTCACCCACTCAACTCACTCACCCTTAATCACTCACTCACTCACCACACACATCCCTAATCACTCACTCACCCAAACTCACAGTCCATCGCCGAATTAATTAACAGTCAAAACAAAATATACGTCAAGCTGTGGATAGGCCGCTCATCGATTTAGCTCACAGCCATCTTTAACTCACCATCAATTTAAGCTCATCCCCAATTTAAGCTCCCCGTCAACTTAAGCTCAACGCCAAATTAAGCTCACTGTCAACTTAAGCTCCCCGCTTATATTTTATTTATAAAATCAATTTTATTTCATTGTTTGAATTTGTATTGGGTTTGGCGTAGAAAAAATATTCCAATAAAAATATAAACACAAAAAAAGTCAATGTAACCAAATTCAATTATTAAAAATCTACACACTTTAAGACGTTTCGTTTTGATCTAATATGTGAATTTACTTTTACGAGAGTGATAATGCGTACAAGACCAGGTATATTATGTGCATTTTTAGAAC